TGTGTCTGAGTGTATAACAGAGCTCCACAGCAATAATACTCCCAGTAATGTGTCTGAGTGTATAACAGATCCCCCCAGCAATAATACTCCCAGTAATGTGTCTGAGTGTATAACAGAGCCCCACAGCAATAATACTCCCTGTAATGTGTCTGAGTGTATAACAGAGCTCCACAGCAATAATACTCCCAGTAATGTGTATGAGTGTATAACAGAGCTCCACAGCAATAATACTCCCAGTAATGTGTCTGTGTGTATAACAGAGCTCCACAGCAATAATACTCCCAGTAATGTGTCTGAGTGTATAACAGAGCTCCACAGCAATAATACTCCCAGTAATGTGTCTGAGTGTATAACAGAGCTCCACAGCAATAATACTCCCAGTAATGTGTCTGAGTGTATAACAGAGCTCCACAGCAATAATACTCCCAGTAATGTGTCTGAGTGTATAACAGAGCTCCACAGCAATAATACTCCCAGTAATGTGTCTGAGTGTATAACAGAGCTCCACAGCAATAATACTCCCAGTAATGTGTCTGAGTGTATAACAGAGCTCCACAGCAATAATACTCCCATTAATGTGTCTGAGTGTATAACAGAGCTCCACAGCAATAATACTCCCAGTAATGTGTCTGAGTGTATAACAGAGCTCCACAGCAATAATACTCCCAGTAATGTGTCTGAGTGTATAACAGAGCTCCACAGCAATAATACTCCCAGTAATGTGTCTGAGTGTATAACAGAGCTCCACAGCAATAATACTCCCAGTAATGTGTCTGAGTGTATAACAGAGCTCCACAGCAATAATACTCCCAGTAATGTCTGAGTGTATAACAGAGCTCCACAGCAATAATACTCCCAGTAATGTGTCTGAGTGTATAACAGAGCTCCACAGCAATAATACTCCCAGTAATGTGTCTGAGTGTATAACAGAGCTCCACGGCAATAATACTCCCAGTAATGTGTCTGAGTGTATAACAGAGCTCCACAGCAATAATACTCCCAGTAATGTGTCTGAGTGTATAACAGAGCTCCACAGCAATAATACTCCCAGTAATGTGTCTGAGTGTATAACAGAGCTCCACAGCAATAATACTCCCAGTGATGTGTCTGAGTGTATAACAGAGCTCCACAGCAATAATACTCCCAGTAATGTGTCTGAGTGTATAACAGAGCTCCACAGCAATAATACTCCCAATAATGTGTCTGAGTGTATAACAGAGCTCCACAGCAATAATACTCCCAGTAATGTGTCTGAGTGTATAACAGAGCTCCACAGCAATAATACTCCCAGTAATGTGTCTGAGTGTATAACAGAGCCCCACAGCAATAATACTCCCAGTAATGTGTCTGAGTGTATAACAGAGCTCCACAGCAATAATACTCCCAGCAATGTGTCTTTAAAATACAATAAATGTGTTTAGTAATCAGTCTGTGTTAATAAGATACATTATTCTTGTTCTAGTTTGGATTTTAGTTGCAAATATTATTAGTCACCTAAAATGTCTCAGAAGCCCTGCCCCTGGCCACACCCCCAGTCACATCCCTAAAATTAAAGAGTCCCTCTTTTTAAAATGTTGGGAGGTAAGTTAAAGGACCGCTACAGAAACATGTATTCCTGACATTATAGTGTTGACATAGCATTAGGTCCTGGCCCCCTCTCTCTGCAGATTAAAGGTGTTTTCACTCACCTTTTTTCCCATGCCGTGCCGATCCTGCCTCTGTGATGAGATCACCAATTTTTCCCATATGCAAGCATTGGGAGGCAGTTGCGCATGCGCAGGAAAACGCTGTGCTGTGCCAGTCAGCATGTCCTCATAGAGATGCATTGAAGCAATATATCTTTATGGGGCACTTTCAGCGCCTCCATGCAGAGCGTGGAGAACAGGGCTGCCATCAGGGGGTGAAAACCATGACAGTTCTCACGGTCCCGGCAATCCTGGGGGACCCAATTGCCCAGGCCCCACATTCACCTATTAATTTGGACTATCATTGAATTCAGCACAGCGAGGGAGCACAAGATCTCCCTGCCAGCTCTTAGAAATGGGCGGTCCAGTCTGCTGCTAGTGAAGCCGCACTCCCACGCGGTTTGGGGAAATTTGACAGAACACCGAGCAGTGTGATTGCAGGAACACAGACGCTGGATTCCCACCTGAAGCTATTTTCTGTTGAATTCCATATACGTTTAAAGCTCGTTTTACAGTTTGTTTTTTTAGAGAGAGTAAAATGACACGGGTAAAATAAGTACCTTTAAACAAACGGTTTAGATTAATCCTATACATGTAGCCACCCAGCATTGTGTTTCAGTACTTGTCTCTCAGTGCGTATAGGGTTTGCACCTACTCATGGGGACCATTGACCTACTGACCAGTGACCTTAGAAACATAGAATGTGACGGCAGATAAGAACCATTCGGCCCATCTAGTCTGCCCAATTTTCTAAATACTTTCATTAGTCCCTGGCCTTATCTTATAGTTAGGATAGCCTTATGCCTATCCCACGCATGCTTACACTCCTTTACCTTGATCTGAGAAGGACCTCAACAAGAGATCTATCTGTCCGACTTTCTGTTTGTTGCCTGTCTGTCGCTATATAAATTGTAAATTAAGGACAGTTTCAATAAAACTCAGGTTACGTGGTTTATGAGAATGCTAATCGTAATACGATCGTGTTAAAGTCAGAATTACATGATAGCGTTTTATATTATATTTATATTAGTTATTGTGGGACAGTAAATAATGATAATTGATCTTGGCAGCTGCTATATTTCAATCTAAGCCAGATTTCTTACTTTTCCCAACTGATCAGTGCCGGCAATGTCCCCGTGCTTGGCAGCTCTGGTGCAGTAATCTATAGAATGACTGGGAAGTGGCAGTAATGTGTTTAGCAGAGACGCTAGGGTGGAAGTCCCCGTAGGCACATCTGTAAAAGCTTTCTTTCCTACCCAGATGTAAGATCAAAGCCAGTGTGACCATCTGCACAATATTACCGCAAGGCTCTGCCATACTCCCGCAGCCACATAGTGCCGGGATATCTGTGTCTATCTTCCAGCTCAGAGTGAAGCCATTGTCTAGATAGACAGACAGACAGACATAGATAGACAGATAGATAGATAGACAGACAGAGAGAGAGACAGACAGACAGAGAGAGAGATAGATAGACAGACAGAGATAGATAGACAGACAGACAGACAGAGAGAGAGAGAGAGACAGACAGAGAGAGAGAGAGAGAGACAGACAGACAGAGAGATAATAGATAGACAGACAGAGATAGATAGATAGATAGACAGACAGACAGAGAGACAGAGAGAGAGATAAATAGATAGACAGACAGAGATAGATAGATAAACAAAGAGAGAGAGAGAGAGACAGACAGACAGATAATAGATAGACAGAGAGACGATAGATAGATAGATAGACGGAGAGAGAGAGACAGACAGACAGACAGAGAGATAGAATTCTGGTGGTAGAAAGTTGTGTTTTTGCCCCTGGCACAGTCCTATTGAAGTGAAATCCTGACAAAAGTTGTGAATTGAAAGGTCAGTGCCACCTTATCGTGGGTCAGGATTGTTAGTAAAATAGCAGGACTGGTTTTCACAGGGTTTTACACTAAAGTATATTTGTTTAAGAATCTAAAGTAAATTTTAAATTACAGCCTAAAAGTAAAAATGTAGCCGATTTGCAGAATTCTTCCAACTGCGCTATTTAGCTTACAATGTTACATTCACTTTGAGTTCCCGTAGATTCAAACTGTATGTGTATAGCCCAGTGTGTGAATAACCGTTTTGGATTACTGATTGTTACTAGCGTGGTCCTGGTACCCCCTTGGGGGAGACCACTAGAAACCTTTGTAGATGCCTCTATTTACGCCATACCTCCTAACAGTCCCGGGGGTTGGTGGCACCATCCTGTATTCTGGCTTCTGTTGTGCCATCCATGGATTGCTTACTTGTGTCCCGAACCTGGGACCAGCAGAGAGCAAGAAGTACAGTGTTAGAAAGTCATTAGATGTGGTCACACTATGCAAAGTGAATCCAGGTAATTCAGCCTACATGCTGAGCGCTTTAACAGCGCAGTCCTGAGTGGGGCCGGCCAGGGCGATTGGCAGTCAGCAGGGTCAGCAGTTCCGTTTCTGTTTCCAGTGGGTGGACAAGTTCAGTGTTGTCTCAATTTTCCTATATTTTGTGGACTATTATACCATTTGTCTAACGCCCCTTTAGTTACTCTGGTGGGTAGGCCTTGTTTACCCACATCTCATAGTCCACTTGATTTCCACCGTGGCTGCTTGTACACGGCATGTAAACTGTCTACGTATTCATGTTACATGAAGTTAATGAAATGGATTTGGGTATCACAGCTCTTAGACTTTCCACACATGCTACAAGTAGAATAAGTTGCAAATTCTGATTGTGTATTCATTTCATACCATGCAGCCGGCACACATACCCTGGCACACATACCCTGGCACACATAGCCTGGCACACATACCCTGGCACACATTGTATGGTACACATAGCCTGGCACACATACCCTAGTACATATACCCTGCAACACATAGTCTGGTACACATACCCTGGCACACATACCCTGGTACACATACCCTAGCACATTATCTGGTACATATACCCTGGCACACTTTGTCTGGTACATATACCTTGGCACACATACCCTGATGCACATTGTCTGGTACATATACCCTGGCACACATACCCTGGCACCCTGGTTATGTTCCTTGGATGCAGTAACCTTAGCAGACCGGAGAAAATTCTTCCATATCAGCTGACTCATTAAAGAAAAAGAATCCATTTTACATACTCTGGGTGAGCTGTATGTATATTTTTAACTGCCAATGAAATATAAAAAAGGAAGCAGGAGGCAGTTCAAGATAACTCCCTGCATTCCCTTAACGTTAATGAGTTTCACAGCAGGTAGGCCGAACTCGCATATTAGCAGGAGAAGTCAGCACATAATGAATTGTAATATTCACCCAGTATTCTGGGAGAGTGGTTAAGGCCACCGCAGGATGGAGGTCGGAGCTCAGGGCTAAATAGGATTTTATGAGATCCCCATCCATATGCTTTTCCATCGGTTATCTAAGGTAAGCCATGGAGTCAATGGGGAGCGTAGTTTTCTTAGTCATATGAATCATACAGCTGAGTTAGGATAAATCCTTGAAACCTGAGGCTAGGAATGTCCCTGATAAGGGTAATCAGCCTATCAATAGACTTAGAGTCTAAAGACCCGGAGATATATTTAACTTCCTCCTCACCATCATCTGAGACCTACCACATATCAGGGTCTTCTTCTGAGCATGAAGACTGAGGTTCTGCTTTGCATCTTTTATATGGACCACTTTTATCCATGGTAGACTTAAAGCCCTCAGTGATAGCTTGGGAAATCCAGAGTTTAAGGTCGTGCTGTTGGGAACTTCTATTAGAAGTATCCGCAGTTTCCAATAAGCATTCTCTGCAAAGGTTCTTTCCTGAGGTGCAGAAGACTAACAATTCACGCATCTGTTGGTTTTATCCCTTGCTTTTTTTGGGTGGAATTCAATGTTTTCCTGGCACTGAAATAAAAGCCATATATGAACATATATTACAGGCTTATTCTGGCACTCTTTTTAACACCCCCAATTAGAGAGTAATTGGCTCACCTATGTTTTCTAGAGAGGGATCTTGCAGAGGCAGAGGGAGAATCCATACCATAATGTAAGATCAATAGAGTATGTAAAATACTTAAAAACAATCAAATACATAAGAAAACACTGAAAGGCAAAGAAAAAACTGTAAGAATAATAACAGCATACCTTCAGGCAAGGAGAACCAATCCAAGCAGCCAGAAGAACAGGAGATCACCAGCTTCAATGCTCTCAAATAAGCTGATTGAAGTAGTGTACCAAGGACACCATCAGATTCTCTAGCAGGCACACAGCGAACCCCAGTCCACACTGAATTTAAAAAAGAGCCAGGGAAACGCCGGTTATGTGCTTCCGCTGACCGCTGGAACGCACGCCATGCATTCCAAGCCGTTCACGTCATACCCGCACGACTCCCCGTGTCATTTCCGGTCACGCGGGGGCAGGGATTTTTGGTTACATAGGCGAAGATGCATTTTTACACCCCCCCCAAAAAAAAACATCTTCACCTATGTGCCTCTTAACCAGCCCCTCTCCCCTTCCCGTCCATTAGTGGTCCCCTCACTTCCCTGTCCTTTAGTGTTCTTCTCCCCTCCCCCTCTTTTCCCTGTCCCTTGGTGTTT